AATAGCTTCAAGATCAGATAAAACTATAGTCAGTGGAAAAAGTTGGCTGTTTACAAATTTCAAATTTGTAAATGCTACTTTATAGTAATCAACAGCTTTTCTCAAAATCCAACCTTGAGTCAAGGAAGTAAGAGTCAAATTTAAAAATACACTGCTAGGGTTGTTGGACCCTGCCTTTAATCCCAGCAGAGGCAGAGGCAGGTGATCTATGTGAGATCCAGGCCAGCTGGGGCTAAACGGAGACCCTGTCTCAAAAAAAAAAATAAAACCACACAAAAATACTATTATTACCTACCAATTGTCTTGCATTCATTTTCTGCAAAATTATTTTACCACTTACATAGGAATTTAGATTTAGAGGAAGAAGAATTAAAGAGATATTAAGGTCAAGATGTCATTTTTATTTGATAGTCATATTTAGGATTTAGTACTTGTACAGAAGAAATGCCTTTAAAACGTCAATAATTGCAAATCAGTTTCAAGAAGTTTAAATATTTCCCATTAAATGTCATAATTTCATTAAGCATTTGGCACTGGGTGCACACATTTTCAGGTAAAGAGTCAACCTGTTGAGTCTAGACTCTAAAGTGTAATCAAGAGCGCAGGTAATTTAAATTTCACTTTCCTACATATTTTTCCAAAATGTATACACTGTTATTAAAATAAGCAGTAACTATGATCTATATTTTCTTAATGAAAACAATGCAATATATGTTTGTATATTTTTCTATGCAGGAATACAGAAAAATTCAGCTATTAGCTTTTTATTATCTATGTAAAATCGATAGATTACTTAAAACTCTCAGCTATGCCAGGCATGGTGGCCCACGTCTTCGGTCCCAGCACTCAGGAGGCAGAGGCAGGCAGATCTCTGTGAGTTCAAGACCAGCCTGGTCTACATAGTGAGTTCCAGGTCAGCTGGGGCTACAAGGAGACTCTGTATCAAAGGCCAAAAAACAAAAAGTTGGGGCTGGAAAAATGACTAAAAGTTTAGGACCAATGCCTGATCTTCCAGAGGTTGGTTCCCAGCACCCACATAGGGCAGCTCACAACCACCTATAACTCCAGTTCCTGAGTTTGATGCCATCTTCTTTTCTCTGCGGGCACCTGAACACATGTTTACATACCCACACAGAGACACACACTTATATACACAATTTTAAAATAATGAAAATTAAAATCTTCAA